ACTGCAACCGAACACTATTTCCCCCTGCCCCCCTCCCCAAAGATACGGAGAACAAACATTCCCCCTCGAGGGTCAATGGTTGTGTACACTTGGCTCTACCACCGGGTGACCACTTTAGTAATGCCACACCCCTCCAGCTCTACTCCACCCTGTCTCCTTCTGAGGGTTGGAAAGGTTTATACTCTGTTTCCACCTTCAGTCTCCCACCTCTACAGAAGGGCTTGTTATGCAGGGAACAATGACCATATTTAAAACACTTCATCAAGGTAGATCTTCTCTTCTTGGAGAACGTGTCAGAAAATTTCTGTTAAAGCAGTCTCTGAGGTTTCCTCTTTAGAATGTTTGCCTTTTGAACTTTACTTTTAAATGGAAATGAAATACATGTGCCCTCCTAACTTGGTTCTGCGGGGTTAAGTTAGACATAGAGACTCAACACAGGAATTGAAAATTGTGATGTCTCCAAGAAATCACTGGTCATTGAAAAGAAGTTAGTATTTCATATGTCCTTACATCTAACTGCTCCCATCAGAAAATCGGGGCAGAACCACTCGCATATCCACAAGTACAAACAGAGCCCTGAGAGGATCATGACTAGAAGAGTTACCAGAGTAGAGGGTTGGGCCAGTAAAAGTCAGTCTTCAGAGAAAGTGAAAGTCAGAGGCTTACAGACAGAAGCAGACAGGGAGGAAATCCTTCCAAGCTCCCAGGAGAGCCTATTCAAAGGCATGGGAGTGGAAATGAAGAAGTTAGATACTGAAGGCGGGGAGAGGTGGGTAGCTAGCACAGAGATAGTAGCACATCATCAGTATCTGCTAGCGAGGTCACTCTGGAATGGGGAGTGTGACCCAATGGTAAGTTCTCCATGCAATGCCCAGGACTTTGATATGACAAGTGCCTGGAGTTCTTTAGTGAGAGGTATCTGAGTAAAAACAGTGCTTCTCAAGCATTATTCTAGAGTTCAGAATAGAAAAGCTAACTGAAAAAATTCTAACAGAAAATCTCTTACTAACAGAAAAAATAAAATCACAAAGCTCCTTACAACATTTTCCTGCTGACCCGTAACAGCAAAGACTTCTCCACTGGGTGGACTGTATCCAGACCAATGTTGTAAAGAGAAAAGGGTATCACGACCAAAAGTTCGTGGCCTTCTCTCTAGGTCACTATCAGGGCATAGACGAAGAAACTGTGTTGCCCTCCTCCACCCAGGTGCCTGGTCTTAGCATCTCATTTTTGCTTTAAACGCACCACAGTAGCTACTTCCTAAAGCAGGCAATCCCATACAGCATCACTGGGTAGACAGAAGGAAGAAAATAATCTGTTCTTTGGGGGAAATTCAAGGAAGGAAAATAATGAAATGTCACCATTGGCTTGACTTCGTAGAAAGGATATATAGCTCAATTTTCAACGACATGGCCACTATCCATGTATCACAGAGCTTCAGAGACCTAACCAAACTTCATACTAAACCATGTTCTTCTCGTTTCTTGGTTATTTTATACAGGTGTGCATCTATGTGTTTTTCCATCCTGGAAGCAGAGACTTGGAAAAAAAGCGTGACAAAACCCAGTCCTCTATTTTCTATGGCAGAAGAAGGAATCCAGTAAACACAAACACAGCAGCACTTCCTTCTGTTGACAACCTTATGATTTCCCCTTAATGCATTGTTTAGAATAGCAATTACGTGTCACTTCCCATTATCCTACACACACAACCACCACCACACAGCCCTTGCTTTTCCTTCCAACAACCGATCGCAGAGAATATAGAAAGAATTCACATGCTGGTGGAACATGTCAAGATGGACAGCCCAGAGCCCAAGAGCTCTGTTTATGGACAGAACAGGTGTGTGGCCAGGCAGCTGGGGTGAAATCTCCCCTCCACCTTCTCAGCACCCCTCCCTTGCAGTGCTGGGCTCTGGGTTGGGAGGGAAAGCAGCTTTGGAAGAACCTTCTTTTTCAGCCTGTTTCCTCCTGCCAGAGAAGACTGGCTCGCTCTCAAGACTGCAAGCATTTGACCACTGCAAACAGCAGTGAGCATGTCAACTAGTTTTATTCACATCCCTCGCTAGGGAATCGGAAAGCCAAGGACACACTGGTGATTTCCCTGGTTTTATGGATCTCTACTCCCCCCAGGCCTGCAACACATTTTTGGGGCTTGTGTTCACAGTGTCCTGGCATCTGCAGTGTGGGAAACCCGAACTGAGAGCCAACAGCCCCAGAGCTTCTCCCTATTAAAATGTGCAATTGGATTTCACATGCGTGTTTCAAACACCATTCAAGGCATGATTTACAGGCTACTGTCTAGCCCCACAGCTGTTTTTTCATCCCCTAGACTTAGGCGTTTCTAGGAATCCACCACTCAGCTCCCCGGCAAATCGTCCTCCCCAATTCCAACCTCCTCAGTCCTTCCTGGGCACCCAAAGCTATGCAAGATCTACACTAAGGATTCAAGAAAATATTTATTGAACGAATAAACTATTATCCTTTCTACGGAACCATTTATTCATGAGAATAGCCCATTTGATGCCTTATTTCTGTTTACCCATCTTCGCATCAAGTTTTTTTTTTTTCATCAGATTAAACTCATCACTGCCGACCCATTGATAAAGGTTATTTATATACATTAAAAACAGCGCAGGTCCAAAGAGTTGCCACCCAGGGCTTTCACAGTTGCTGAATTTTTTCTAGGGATGAGAAAAGAAAACACTTTTATATATTGCCAGATATCTTCTTTGGTTGAATAGAGACAGACTGTCTGTGTTCAGCAGAGAGTGAACATCCTACCATTGTATTTCTCTGACCACTCACCCCAAGGTACTAATGTAGTCTCACTTCCAAGAATCTGAAATCACCCCCAAAAAGGTTAGACCTCAGGCTTAGGGTTATGGTTGGTTCAAAACCATGTTGACAGTATCTTCTAAATATCTGGCTTTAAGCTACTGGAGGACCAGAATGGTAGTGTATTTATTTATGATTCTTCTGTGCAGAGCACAGCTCTTGGCAGAGGATGGATTCAGACACAGTGAGCAGTCGGCAGGATTCCCTTGCCCTGTGACTGAGGCCCACCTTTTAAGGGAAGAGGACAAAGGCGGGGGGGGGGGGATGACACTGAGAGAAATGTCACAGGAAAAGTCATTGCTGGAAATAGTGTGGATGGATCAATTTCACCCAAATGGCTCTGCAAATGTAGCTTCCATTTCAGATGAAAGCGATTAATTAAAAATCATGTTAATAAAGATCTTACAATTTACATCAAATGACATTTTGCCCTTTGTTGCAGTATACCAATCTTTTCCAATGACCAGAATCTCAAGGTGCAAAGGGGATACCTGTCCATTTTCGCACGCTCTCACCGCCCCCCCCCACCCCGGCTCTGAGATTCAAAGTTTTCCAAGAAAACTTCCTTATCCTCCTTGAACTACTACTACACAACACTTGAGGAGATTCACTTTGTACAAGCCACAGTCACAATAACAGGCCTTCCTTGCTAAGCCAAAGTCCCTTAAGACAGGAATACTGGTAGGGAACTCTTGTGTTTCACATAGCATTTGATGGCTAGAAAGGCAAGGCCACCGAGTTCCTTAACTCAACAAAGGCAGCTTTAGTCTCGGGACTCCCCTTCCCTTCTCCTCCCAAAGCTGTGTCTTTACAGACCTCATGAAGGAAGATTAATCATTTACTCTTTGGATAATCTGATAATCAGACCATGTTGACATGCTGGGCTGTCAGGCCTGCAGGTTACCTGAAAAGGCTCTCCTTTTTTACATTAAAAATAACCCCAAATTCACACTTGTTACAAGTGGCTCCAAAGGCCGAAATCCCAACTGAAGAATAAAAATGGCAGCAATAAAATGACTCTTTATTAAATATCCACCATGCATCCGATGTCGTGTAGGGTGTTTGACACATGTGCCTTCTCTCCTTCACCTCTCAAGATAATCAGTGGAGGTAGTATTGTACTGCCCAGAAAAAATACAACTGGCATTAAAAGAAAATAGACTCAAAGCCAATCCTTTGTGCAAAAAAGCTCACGGACTTTCCTTCCAGTCCACTGTGCACCCACCCCCACCGCGAAGGGAACAGTAGACCTTGGGAACCGTGCATTCCCAGGCTGGGAAGAACTCAAGCTGGTAGGAGATGTCTGGTTATTGAAGGAGCATGAGGGGCAGGGAAGGGAGCAGCCCGGCGTCTTCCACATCCTGAGAATCTGCACGCATCCTCCTGTCCTAAGCACCTGATTCTGCAGTCCCCAGAGGTGAGCTGAGCCATCAAAACACTTTTGCTTCTTGGTCTGGTCAAAACAATAAGCTGTCCTCTTGCTCACTATGCCACACCTACAGCCTTCCCCCCCTACCCCACAGCTTTGGGTACATTGCCAGTGATGAGACCCCTCCATGGCTTTCTGTATTTCTGAATCTCCAAACCCGGGCAGTTAGACCCTCTTCCCACCTGGTGCTTTCTCAACATCCTTCGGCTATCGGAAATCACTAGTTACCCCTAAATTATCCTGTGACAGAATCAGACATACTTGCCCCACCCAACCCCTCTTTCTCCCTCCTCTGAATTCTGTGTAGCGTAACATGGCACCCCAGACACTTCACGCATATGTTTTTTTGGTTTTGCAGGTTATTTTTTTTTAGAGCAACACAGGATATAAATAAGTAACTAAATAAATAAATCGGCCTGGTATATCCCATTCCTTTTCTTGCTCACAACCACACAGAAGACTCCCAACGCTGGTCCACCCACAGGGAGTGTGCTTTCCGTAAGCACTGCCCACACGAGTCCAGCCTGACATTTCTGCATGGCGCCAGACACTCACCAAGGGTACCCCACCTTCCCACTCCCATTTCTATACTGTTGCGACCTTTCCCCATTTCTTCCTTCACTTGAACCGTCATGTTTTTGGATTCAACTTTCCTCCAGGAAGAATGACTGACAATGAATCCCAGCCCACCCCGACCTTCGGTGCTTAGCTATGGCCCCAAAGCCCAGTATTACCATTAGAGTCTTCCACTTCTTCGGCTGGGGTAGCTTTCTGGGAGGAGTGGTGAGCGTGTGAGGAGAGCAGACTGACGATCCGTGGCCTGGGGAGGGTCAGGGCTTTTCCGTGGACCTTGAGGGAGTGCTCCTTCAGCTGGCTGATTGTCATGGTGGAAAAGGAGCAGCAGGAACACTTGTAGGCATGCTCACCTGGAGGAAGATGGCAGTAAGGGGCAGAAGAGGAAAAAGAGGGGAGGAGAGACGGTGGGGGTGGGAAACAAAGTGACAGAGTTAATTCACGCCAGAGAAGCGCCTCTGAAGCGTCTTGGTCTGAGAAGCCTCCCAGACCAGTTACCGTCCATTCGCACACAACCACAATGGTCCTCTGGGACTCGAACTCCTCGAAGAGCTCCATTATCAAGTGACCTGCTCCCTTCTCATTTCATGCTCTACTTACAGGGAAGAGCCCTATGGACTGATTCCCCAACGAGGAGTGAAACCAAATGTCTACGGCCCCACCTTCAGAAAGGTTTCCCAGTCTCTCGTTCTCTCTCACTCTCCACTAGAAATGACCATGTCGGCTTTCGCTCAAGGATGTTTTTTTATCATCTGCAGAATACGATATGCTTAATTCTCACTCCAAGGGCCTATTGGTGGCTTTCCAAGCACAGACAACTAAGTGCAAACTCTGTTGTGTTATTTTCATCCTTTACGTCTTTGCTGACTATACACCTCCCTCCATTCCACACATCCTAGCTTTTGGTTTTTTTGGACCAGTTCACAAACCTCAGCATAAAACTCCACGCTCCTACTTAATCGTGCAGAAATGGGTAAAAATGAGTCATTTCTTTCACCAAGAGAGAGAGTTGTATATGTATAAATGTGTGTTAGCTCCCATATTCTTTGATAAGGACAGGTCAGTGAAAGTAGGCATTTTAATTTTAATTATTTTTATACCACTGAGACAAATGTGACCAAAGAGACTATGATTCACCTTTGCCCTATGTCAGCTGTTAAATGAACTGCATTTTAAAAAGCCAGGCTGTGAAATGGGCATGCTTATGTTGTTGTATAAACACTGGTTAGATCCACTCAGAAAGCAATTTTGCTTTTTATAACAACAGGCTTAGAACGCTCATGCTTGCAGCTCAGTATCTGCACTTCTCAGAGTTTATATTAAAAAAATATCCTTTGACACATAGGATTTCCAGCCATAAGGAAATGATTAAGTAATTGTGGACACATCCTCTCGATGAATGATCATTCATTAAAATAAATTCTTGAAGAGTTTGTAATCATAAAAAAACAAAACAAAATAAAATAGTGATACTCAGAAAAACAAACAGAAAGGCACAATATATTTTAGATTGGATTATAATCACAACTGTTAAAAATAATAATAGAGGAAATGGTTGAAGGGAAATGTTATCAAATGTTAACAGTGGTCTTTAGAGAATAAGATTATGGAGGACTGACTCTGTTTCTTCTTTCATTTCCAAATTTCCTCAAATGAGTGGAAGTTTTATCATTTTTTTTTGAGTGGAAGTTTTTTATCATTTTTTAAAAAATTTATGATAGTCACACACACACACACAGAGAGAGAGAGAGAGAGAGAGAGGCAGAGACACAGGCAGAGGGAGAAGCAGGCTCCATGCACCGGGAGCCGTGGGATTCGATGCCGGGTCTCCAGGATCGTGCCCTGGGCCAAAGGCAGGCGCCAAACCGCTGCGCCACCCAGGGATCCCCTTAACATTTCTTTTTAAGGTGAAATTGTAAAACCAGAGAAGAGAAGGGAAGTGGAGAAAAAAAAAAAAAGCAGCAGAAAGGACCTTTAGCAAGGAAAAATTATGTGGGCCAGTGACAATGAACTGTGACCACAGCTGCAGAGAAAAAGGTAAACCTCTGTCCCTGCTTTGATCCAGCTGGGATGGTTAGCTCCCTGCCACCTGGAAGATGACTAATGTTTTCACATGTGAGGTGAGCACAGCATCCCAAATTCTGCACTGAGCCTCCACTTTACCACCAGTGATCCTCAGAGCATGTACTGCCAAGAAAGTCTTGAAGAGAACCTTGAGTGATGCAACATCCGACAGACCAAGGAGGAAGGCAAGTTCAAAGTCAGATGACCTGAACTAGAACCTCAGTCAGTCCCCAACTGTGATCCAGGAGTCCGGATAATGTCAGTTTGTCAACAGTGGTATTTATTACTGTAATACATATGGATCTGTAGAATATTATTTATAATACAACATAGAATACATGTGCTAACATGTATTAGAGGCAGCCCGGATGGCTCAGCGTTTAGTGCTGCCTTTGGCCCAGGGCGTGATCCTGGGGACCCGGGATTGAGTCCCATGTCGGGCTCCCTGCATGGAGCCTGCTTCTCCCTCTGCCTGTGTCTCTGCCTCTCTCTCTCTCTCTCTCTGTGTGTCTCACGAATAAATAAATAAAAATCTTAAAAAAAAAAAAGCATGTATTAGTTATTGCATATAATACGATTGCCCTCCTTATTCCATTTTTTTTTTTTAAAAGAGAGAGGCAGAGACACAGACAGAGGAGAAGCAGGCTCCATGCAGGAAACCCGATGTGAGACTTGATCCTGGGACTCCAGGATCACCTGGGCTGAAGGCAGGTGCCAAACCACTGAGCCACCCAGGGATCCCCTCTTTATTCCATTTTAAAATGTTTTAATGCAAGCTGGCTGCATGAACCTGGTTGGGCAGTTGCAAGTAGCACAACCTGAGAGAGAATTCAAATCCAGATTATTTGATTTGTCTATGTGACTTTTACCCTTTAAAATAAAACAATGCATCTAGGATGGACAAGATGAGTCAAGAGTTTCGCAAAATGTATCAGCTTTCTCCAAGCCAAGCCACTCTCAGTGGCTAAACTCCACACCATGGACACCAAGTTTCCCAGGTGTGCAGAGAAACAAATTATACTGCTCCCTCCTCTCTTTCTGGATGCTTCCTTCTCGCCAACCAGCGAGCACAGTCCACATGGTCAGTTCAATGCCCCGGAGTCAGCAGGAAGCCTCCGGCACTCTCTTAAAGTCCTTCCCACAGGCCAAATCATTCACCCAACTTCCACTGCTGACTGCTTTTGACAAGGTGGAGACCTGTGAGAAACTGTCCAGGATGGTGTCCCAGTTGAATAGTTTACCATATGTACATGTTACAAAATACTGGTCTGAACCCTGAAGCCTCTTACTCTATAGCATTTAGTAGACTTTTCCTGAAAACACAAACATACTAAGAGACAAACAGAAGTCCCTAGAGCCAGTCTCCCTGTCCCACCTGCAGCCCAGTGGGGCTTGGGGCTGCTAGATGCCTTCAGTAGTTTCAATCCATTAAACCAGTTCAATAGGACCCAACATGACGAAACATGGGCAAAACCTCTGAGAAGGCCACTGGGTGCTGCGGAGTCCAGTGTGGCTGAGACCACCACGGAGAGGCCCCCAGACCGACTTCTCTGCATCACACCTCTTTCCTCTCTTGGCTGAGCTCTGATTTGCTACCTGCAAACACCCTCCATCATGTGCAAAAAGGAGAGAACAACAGTATCTTGTCAGGGATGAGGATGGAGGCTTTTGTTCTGAAGTTGAATTCTTAGTGAAAGGGTTATACAGCCTTGAACAGGTTCCTTCATGTTGAGTCTCTGTATTCTCTTCTGACACTGAGGGTGACACCACCACCTACCGTTTAGGACTGTCATGAGGATGAAATAGTGTGATGAACAGAACGTGCTCAGGCCACAGCCCGGTAGGTGAGGGTTGCTCATGAGATAAGCACAATGAGATGGAACCACAGAGTGACACAGACCAGCACAGCTCCTGGGCACTCAGGATCCAAAGTCATTTCTCATCTGCTGTATAGAAATGTATTTAAGGGCATCTCCTGAGAAATCTTACACAGCTTGAGGACTTTGTCCCTTTGAACTTCCTCAGGATTATAATTTTATTTTAGTTGGGGATTATCTTTAGTAGATACTCACAATTCATGTCTTTCCATTAGAAAGGCTGGACAATTTAGAAATTTCACTAAGAAACAAAACCCGTTAGTAGCACAAATCAACTATGACATGGATCAAGCTATTTTGGCTTTGGGTGATCATTTATTTTTTAATATATTTCTTCATTAGATTAAAATAGAAATGAACACACAATCATGTCAAGAATAACTTCTTCTCACGTGTGGCACAAGAGACTTTGAATTTCACTCAGGGAAGACCACTGGATTTCCAATTCAAGGACTCTGTGCATCAGGAAGGCTAACTCACCAGCATGAGCCTTGAGTATATGTGTTTTCAGCCGGCTGTTATAGGAGGACTTGAAGGAGCAGAGTTTGCACCGGAATGGTTTATGGTGTCCGTGGTGGGTTTGCATATGGCGATCCAAGCTTGATGTAGAAGAAAAATAAAAGAGAGAGAAAAAAACAACAGGATTAACAATTACATATATTTTCCCACTGCCCTTTCCCAGCAAACCCATTCCTAAACTGTTCAAAGTCATTGTTACTTTCCAGGGATGGCGCTTACCAAAAACAACGACAACGATGACAAGAGTGGTCATGCCTACTGGAGAGGGAGGGGAGGCTAAAAGGAAGGAAGAGATCAAGAGCCCTCTGGACTGAAAGACATGGCAGCGGGAATAGGTCATAGTAGACTCTCATTTTCCCTTCCCTAGAGACATGTATAATCGGAAGAGGGCGTCCAAAGAGAAAAGGTAAAATACCAAGTGCAAGTTTCCTGCCAAGTCAGCAAGGAGTATGTATCAAAGGGTCTCTCAACTTATTCCAAGAAAAAAACCAAACCACATAAGAATTAGAGAAACTTTGCATTTAAAAAGGGTTTTCTTTTTTAAATCTCCATTCTGCATTCCCGAAGAACACTCAGGAGGGGAAGGGAAGTTTCAAAGTAGTTGAGCTTTCAAAGTAGTTGAGCTACTTGCAACATGAAAATATGGAGGCAAAGTGCAGGTGCGTTTAAAAGAAGTCACGTGATCCAAAGGCCACTCATCCCTTCTGATAAACACAACCATGTTTGCTGTACCTCAGTCTTCCAGAGCAACTTACAAATAAGTTATTTAATTATGGTGAACGCCTAGTATTTCATAATAATTACTAGTCTAAAACAAATAATAAATCTACCAAACAAGGTGTGGGAAGAAGTTCTAATTTGAATCGGTACCCCAGAGAACTAGATTCCATTCTAAATGACTCATGTGGGAATGGTGCTGCTTACCATTTAAACATATAATGTTCTCCTGAGCTCCAAAGCAGCACTTTCAATTGCCTCCGGACATCTCCCTCTGGGTGTCCGTTAGCTTTCTTAAATTCAACTGGCCCTAAACAAAACCATCAGTTTTTCTTCTCCCCTCCAAAACAAATGCTCTTCCTCATTTCCTTGCTTCTGCAAAGGACACTACCGTCCTCAAGCCAACCAGACTGAACACCTAGGTATCATTTGTCCTCTACTTTGCCTCTCATCCCTCATCCCCTACATTAAGTTGATTTTTCCTAATCGTGAAGATCCTACTTCCTTCAACCATTCCCAAAGTTCCATCCTAACTTCTCAGCTCACCTACTACTACTGCCTCCTAGTTGGGTTTCTCCCACCGTTGTTTTTGTTTTCAACTCAAGAGCATAAGCTATGGAGTCAGACTACCTGGGATCAAATCCCAGCGACTGCTTATAAACCGCGTGGCCTGGGCAAGTTGCATAAACCTCACTTTTCTTATCCACAAATGGAGAGAGTAGTGGGACCACACCTCATAGGGCTGATTTAAGAATAAAATGAGGGGATCCCTGGGTGGCGCAGCGGTTTGGCGCCTGCCTTTGGCCCAGGGCGCGATCCCGGAGACCCGGGATCGAATCCCACATCGGGCTCCCGGTGCATGGAGCCTGCTTCTCCCTCTGCCTGTGTCTCTGCCTCTCTCTCTCTCTCTCTCTCTCTCTCTGTGACTATCATAAATAAAATTAAAAAAAAAAAAAGAATAAAATGAGATAATACTTGAAGGCACTTAGCACACCGGTGGACACATAGGAAGTCTCAATAAATGGCAGTGATTATGATGACTCTACTCATTTCAGAGTCTTCCTTTTCCCAATAATGTAAATGACAAAATATTAATTCCACATTCAAAGATTCCAAATATGGTCCCTACTCAAGTCTTCGAACTTTATCTTCCATTATTCTTTTACATGTAACTTAAAGATTAGTCAGACTAGACCGCTAGCTGCCCGCCCCCCCCCCCCCCCCGCCCCCGGATCCTCACGCTCTGTTCCACAGGTTTAGGCTCTCATCACTCCCTCCATGCTGTGCGTCCTGTCCAAACTAGCCAAGTCCTGTCTTCTGACTTTAAGACCTGACTCAAGCGCTCCCTACTCTGTAAAACCTTCCCAATTCTTCTACAGGGAGTATAACATTTCCCCTCTTTGAAACCTCACAGCATTTTATTGTTGTAGTTTCGAAAGGTACATGCCTTATTTTGCTCCATTTGTGTGCCTGCTGTATTTGTAACTCCACTGGCCCCTAAACTCCCTTAGCTCACTGACCATGGCCTCTTCATCTTTATACTCCCCTTTACATCCCCCACTAAGTCGCCACCACACTGCCGAGAACAGGGGTATCCATTCATTCACAACGATCTGTTGAGACTGCTGGGTACCAGACAGCAAGATAGATGCTGTGGAATAAATATACGTCTTAAGCTGATGGGAACTACACCAGCTTTACGTCAGTGCTCGGATCTGACGACAAAGATGACACATTAGGCTCCGTAGGATACAGGGTTTGTGTAACCCATCCTACTCTCTGTAAAAGCATTGCCTCCTCCGGCCTTTCAACAACTCGCTAGCACTTTATCTTTTTAAGAACCGAACAGCCCAACATTTGTTTGCAATTATCATAAAAATAAACAGCACGTCAGTCTTACAATCAGTCACTTCCATCCAAGACGGTGGCACACACATTATTGAACACGTATCTCTCTTACACAGCTCAAAGAAAAACGCAACCAAAGGCTGTTTCTTCTCCGAACCATCCCTCTTCCCGTTACCCCCAAAAGCCTGACATGATATTCTAAGTCTACAATCCCAATGCCCTGATGGGCCCGGGCAGTTCCTTCTCAACACCCCCGTTACTTCAAGCACTTCAAGGTCTTTTTAAAATATCATGCAATGAGAGAATAGTCACATGAGTGAATGGTCCTAATTTTACCTCCTTCGCCACTCAACTTCCCAAATGGAACTTTACTTCCTCAAACGACGATTAGGTCCTGGATGACCGTTTGACAGATATACCAGTAAATTCATCCACTTCCTGGTCTTGCCTTTTGTAAATCATAGCAGTGCATCCAAAATAGACAGCCCCCTTATTTTTTTTTTATTAAAGGTCTGTATGTGCCCAGTCTAATGTTAAGAGATCTTGGGCTCTTAGCCCCACTTCACAGATGAGATGACCGAGGCTCAAGGTGACAGAAGCAATTGCACGGCAGTTGCAAACCCTGAGCAGGGCTCACAGACCCCTCCAAACCTCCCCTGCTCTAGCTCAGCCACCTTCCACTATGACATCTCCCCATCACCCTCCCATGATCACGAGACAGCACTTACTTGTGCCTGAAAGCAGAAACAAAGGAGCAATACTGGCAGCTGTACTTGTCCTCGCGGGTAAACATGGCCAGGGCCAGATGGCTCCTCTCATGAGAACGCAGCCCCTGCATGGACATCAGGACTCTGTCACATTGACTACAATGGTATCCCCCCGGCCGGGTTTCATCCTCCAACATTCCATCAAGCAAGCAGTGTTCACCATCCACCCGGTCCACTAGGGTGCCACTGGCATCTTTGGCTGCTTCCAGTCCATCCAGGAACAAATGGGAAGGGTCTTCGGCCTCCTGCTAAGAGAACCACACACACACACATGCCCCACCAACAAAATAAATATCCATCATCATCGTCTCCAGCTCTCCTCCTCTCCCTTCATTCTCCCAAACTCATCAGCATTTCCTGGTAAAGCTTTCTCCCCTGCCTCTCCAGCTCCCCCTAGAGGAAGGGCAAGCCCGCCTGCCATCCTTCATGCAGTGTTGGTGATTTTAGAGCAACGTCTCCGGGCACAGGTCGCTACAGCCTGGGAAACACGAGACGGGCTCTCCCACCACGAAGACAGTTCACTCACTCATCTCCCATCTTAAAGAGAAGATTCAAACTGACACAAAGCAGGGTTAGGGTGACGGCTCAGAGAAAAGAAAGAAAAGGAGGAAGAGGGGAGGAAAAAGCAGAGTAGTGTGGGCATCTAGGAGCCATGGGCCATCCCTGGAAAAAGAAGGGAAGGGAAGGACCTTGCCGGCCGTGCTCCTCCCCACCCTGCCTGTGGTGACTCGGTCCATTGACCGAAGGCTGCCGGACGATCGACTGAAAAACTTAAGGAGCAGCCTGGTTTCAAGACACTCGTGTTTGGAGGTGACTCCTTGGGTTACTGATTACACATGAAGAGCTGCTCTGTCTCTCTCGAGCAATTCCAGGAAACAAGCCTGGGACACACCGAGGTGCCGTGGAAGAGGCTGACCGCCGCTGCCCCCGGGGGGCCACTGCTCGGCTGAGAGCCGGAGGCCTTCAGTCTTTACGTCCAGGAAAAGCAGAGACTTTACGTCCATGCTCCATGGGCAACACAGGACACCGGAGGGAGATGGGCAGATGGCAAAAATATATTCACATATCTAGGGAGAAGGAGCGGGGCCCTGAACTAACCAACGTCTCGGCTCAAAAATGAGTGCTTAGCCGTATCCTGGAAGGCAGGGATGGTGGCTCGGTTCCCAACAGTGGCCGCTCTTCGGATCACCATGTTCGGAACAGGGGGCGTCATCAGAGCCACGGGGAGGAGGGAAAGCACTGGTCAGCCACATACGGGGAAAGGGCATGAACGAGGCCAACCAGGTCAAGGGGTTCTCGGGCCTGCTGTGGTGTGAAGGCTTTCAGCTTTAGTTTTCACGTTTCTTACGCTCCTCAGAGGACCCAGAATAAGAAGTGAAAAGATTCTCCGGGGCTCTCTACACCGTCAGCCAGATGAGAACAGTAAGGAGTCAGGCAGTGGGAGGAGCAGAAGATGATGGGGAACAGGACCCACTTGATTCCAATCAAGAGCTCGGGCAACTCGGAAGAGCAAACACCTAACGGCACTAAACGCAGCACAGAAGGGCGACCCAAAGCCTCCTGCCCCGAGAGGCCCGGATCCTCCGTTTCCACCAAACTATCCGCGTGGAAGGCAACCAGATCGAAACGCGACCGGGTCGAGACACGAAAGATGAAGAAGGTCCAACCTGCAAAAGAATCACAACAAGCCAGACCGATCCAAGCGCAGCTCAGGAGCGCCCACATTCTGGGACGCCCTTTCCTGAGCTGCTCTGAGCAACGGGGGGGGGGGGGGGGTTAATAGGTAACTGGAACCGCTCACACACAACAACGCTCCTCCAGGCCTCCCCCCGCTCTCACCTTCACGGCGGCGGACACGGCGGGGACGCTGCCGTACTGGACGTGCTTTCGGAGGTGATTGCAGATGGCTCGGAGCGTCGGGTGCACTTCCACACAGAATTTACACTTGTAGCCCACCACCTTCCTCTCCTTGATCTTTGGCACCTCTTCTAAGTGACCAAAAGGCTGGTGAAATACAGTGGTAGCCATCAGTACTCCGAGCCCCCCCTCACATGCCGGCATTTATTCTTGCAGCTTACTAGCAGATTTTATTTCAAAGCGGATTAGCGGGTTAAAAACCAAAGGGAGAGATATGTGAGTATTTTTACATAACGAATTCGTCAGAGCCGTGGCACGCTGCCTACTATGCAAAGTCTCTGGAACCCAAATATGTTACAACTTGTGAGTAGAGAAGATTTCTGTGGAGAAGCCTCATCGTCACGGCCACCAGGTTATGTGGTTTTTCAAGCCAATTTCAACTACGCAGGTGAAACGTTGCGTTAGCTACGCCATTAGTGAACTTCTTGACCAAAAAAAAGGATCTACTCCCGGAGATGTGAGGTTCGTGTGGCGGACACCGCAGACCACAACACGGCTGAGAGGTGCTAGTGATACCCAGAGACGGCCCCCAGCTGCCTTAGAAAGAGAGCGAGCGTTGTCGTGCACCTAGGCCTCACATAAGGCTACTCGGCAGAAGGAAATACAGAGAAACCACCCCAACCCTCCCCCCGCCCCCGGGGGGGCCTGGGGTGGGGGGCGGGAGCGGGAGGCAAGGGGAGCGGGGCCGTGGAGAAGGGCGAGCATAGAACGGGGGATAATCAAGCTCGAAATGTTTAATTGACTTATTGAGCTCTCTGGCAAGCTAAGTCGCTAGGAAGCCTGTAGCAGTTTGGCTGGCAACGAAGAAGTGCATGTGGGCACCAGTGATGAGAGGCCTCCTGGGGGAAGGGAAATCAAAACATATCCTTACCCTCTCTTGTTTGAAATCTGCAAAAGCACCATCTGCATATTTCTGCTTGCTCAAAAGCTGTTTCCTCCTCTCCTGACGTTTGGCACGCTTCTGGAATTCCTCATTGTGAATGTTCAAGTGTGAGGTCAGCTCCGCTGTGCTTTGCAGTTTGCTATCACAGTGCTTGCACTGGTAGGCGGGGTTCTGCAAGCGGGGGCCGCTGGCCAGAATGACGAAGTCCCTCTTCAGGTCCCGGCTGTGGTGGTCAGTGTAATGCATGCACAGCAGCTCCGCCGTGCTGAAGGACAGCTTGAAGCACTTGATGCAGCGGAACGGGAGCCACTCCATCTCCTGCGCTTCGCTTCCCTCCACCTCGGCTTTCTCGAAGCTGCCTCGGTCTTCCTCTTCCATCAGCACCGGCTTCTCGTGCTCGTCGGCGTAGACGGCCGTGAAGTAGCCTCCCAGCTTGCTGGCGTGCTGCTTCTTGGGGAACACCCCCGGGTGGCGCTTCATGTAATGGGACACGATGCCCTTCTTGCTGAAGGACTGGAAGGAGCAGAGCGAGCACTTTTTCTTCTCCACGGCCCGCCGGAGCTCCTCGCTGAGCTGTGGGGAGTCGTCCTTGGGCGGGGACGGGATGATCACCTTGTTGGGCTTGTCGCTGATGGTCCGGGAGGCTGCCAGGCAGTGGGTGTAGTAGGCGTCGATGTCGTGGCGCTTCTGGTAGTGGGCCGCCAGCCCTTTGCGGATGGGGTTGGTGTAGGCGCACAGGGCGCACTTGAAGAGGTTGTTCTTGCCCTCCGGCTGGGCGCGGACGTTGTTGTGCTTGATGCGGTAGTGCCTGGCGATCCCCTTCCTCGTGGAGCAGAAGTACTTGCAGAGCTGGCACCGGAACACAGTGTGGGAGACCAGGTGCGAGGTAGAGAAGTGAGACGTGGACACGGGCTCCTCTCCCACGTCCTCCTCGGTGACGGAGACCTGGGAGGGGCTCACTTCAGTGGTTATCTCGGGCTCGAGGGAGACCGGCAGCTTCGGGGGCGACTGGGAAAAGACATCGAATTCAGGCTGATTGTGGTACTTCTCGTAGTGGATTTTGAGCTTCTCCAGCGTGCCGTGCGTGTACGGACACAGTTTGCAACGGTAGGCGCCGTAGCCTTGCTTGAAGATCCTGCTCGTCTCCTCCACGTCGTTCTGGGCTATGTCGGCCGACTGCTCCACGTCGTGCACAAAGTCCTCGGCGGTCACCTTGATGGACGGGTGTCGCTTCTGGTAGTGGGTCAGGACGCCGTGGATGCGGGTGTTGATGTACGGGCAATGCCTGCATTTGTAAACGGCGCCGGGGTTAATGTCGATGTCCTGGGCAAAGTCGGCAGCCTTCACCTTCATGCCGGGGTGCTTCTTCCCATAATGGGTGAGAAGGCCGTGCAGGTTGTTATACTCGGACTGGCACACCGTGCACTGGTACGGGGTGGAGGATATGGCCGGGTTGGCAGAAGCCAGCTGGATGCTTTTCTCTGGGGACAGCCTCGCATCCTCTGGGCATTCGGCGTCCTGCTCGGGCAGTGGAGCGGGCATGCTGTTTTCACAATTCACAGGACCCACCAGCTCTTCGGAGGAGGGGAGGGGGTTCTCAATGGCATCTTTCTCCTTGATGATATCCAGCAGCACCGACTCATCACCATTCATGGCCCAGGGATGGAACGCCTGGTAGTGATTGGTGATGTCCCAGATGGACATGGCTTCAAAAACACAGTCTCTGCACCTGTACGTTTTGGCTTCCACGGGCATTGCGAGAGAGGGGGGGGACGGGTCTGGCCCAGCCCAGAGTTTGGTAGCCATGTAAGTATAGTCAACATAATGCTCTGGATGCCTCCTTTGGTAATGCAGGAGCAAACCGTTGGGCTCTGTGTGGGAATAGATGCACCACTCACAGTGGTAGCCAGCTTCTATCAAGCCATCTAGAAATGCCCACCGCATGATGGACGTGACTGTGGCCTTCAGGGCAGGGTGGTCTTTCTTGATATGCTTCCTCAGTGCATAGAAGTAGGGGGAGGTATACGAGCACTGCCTACACTTGAGCGCTCGCAGCTTAGCTTTATCCCTCTCCATGTTCGAGGGGGCGACAAGCACACAACCGGCAGGCTTCTTCTGGTTGCGGTCACAGAGGCTTCGGATGGTGGCCGTGTGCTGCCGAATCACATCTGCATTGGCCTTGAAGTCTCGGTGCTTCTTCTGATAGTGAATGAGGACACCTTTGACCGTCCGGTTCCCGTAATCACAGTGCTGGCAAAAGAACATCTCATTCTCGGCGGGAGGGCCGTCTCTCTCAGAGCTGCTTCGGGTCAGCTGCTGCATGGGGGCAGGTGGCCGAGGGGAGCCTTGGGGCCCCTCGGACCCCCTCATCATTGCAGCTGTGGGAGGAGCCTGCCTGATATATTTGGCAGTGACCTTTATCTCTGGGTGTCTTTTCTGGTAGTGGACAAGCACTCCCACAACTGACCGATTACTGTAGGAACAGTGTTTGCAGTAGTAAAGCTCAGTACTGAGGTCTGGTGGCGGGGGTGGTGGGGGGGGTGGGGAACCCATGTTGGACATTTTGGGAGACATTGGAGCACCCACCTCAAATGATAATTGAGAAAGGGCAGAGCCCCTGTCCACAGACACCATTCGCATGGTTTTCTGGATCCTAAAGTAGGAAGCCTTTTCTTCCGGGTGTTTCTTCTGATAATGAACCAAGACAGAATGCATGTTGGGGCTTGCGAACGAGCAAACGTCGCAATCGTAAACGACAACAGTGTTAACTGAGGGGTCCTTCTGATTTTCACATTCTGGAGTAAAGGTCTTTGAAGGAGTGTTTTTATTAAACGTAGCTGGCAGACCGCCACCGCGAGCCACGGGAGTGGAAGTCGCCAGGCTCTTGGGGGCCGAATTCAGAATCTCCCTCAGCGTCTGGGATTCCGTATTCAGCCCTTCCTGCTGCTCCACGACATAGCTGGAAAATATCATCGCGTTGTTAATCTTAACCGTGGGATGCATTCTTTGGTAATGTGGCATCAGGCTTCTGACATTCGGGCTCGTGTAGGAACAAAACCGACACCGGTAGATCAGGTCCGAATGGTCAAAGTTGAGTACATTCATGGCTTCTGGGTGGTGTTCGCCGTAATGCTGCTGCAGGTCTTCAAAGTTGGTGTAATCAATGTAGCATTCCAGGCACCTGTACACCGCACTGTGATCATTGGGATCCAAGATGTACCTAAAGCTGAACTTAATGTACGGGTGCATTCGTTGGTAGTGGGTGCTGACGCTCCGAGCAGATTTGTTGTTAAAGTCACAGTGTTTGCAATAGTAAAGCCTTCCAGAGTCACCAAAGTCCGTGTTCTCGTTACTGTGCTCGGTTCCATAGATGGGAGTCTGGGTGTTCAGCAGAGCAGCGTTGGAAACTTGGTGATCTTTCATGTTTGTCGAGGAGCCGTAATAATCCTCTTCGTCTTCAGAAAGGGTGAGCTCAATCTCAGCCCCGTTGGTGGCGTTGTAATCGTGGGCGACGCTTCTGAAGTTGGGCTCCTTCGGGGGCTCGCCGGCGTCTCTCGCCCAAATCTGCTGGGCCGAAAAGGAAGCGGACACCTCCATGACTGGCTCTGTTGGCTCTTCCTCCCTGTCCAACTCAACCTCTATCTCCACTTCATTGTCTTCCTCTTCCTCCTCGTCGTCCTCCACGTTGATCACCGCGTCCTCCTGCTGTTTTGTCTGGTTGATTTTGCTTTGCAGGTTGCTGGCTATCTCGTCGATCCTCGTTCTCTTCTTCACGGGCGATAAATCGAGGGGAAAGTCATTAGCGAGCTTCCTAGAGGCCTTAGCTACAAAATTGTTCTTGGAGGACAACCCAAGAATTGAGGTCTGACTTTTCTTCACAGTGTTGCTGGAAGAGGGGTGGCTGTCTGTCTCACTCTCCAACGGCAGGCTTGAGGGCTGCCCCTCGAATTTTGGCAAGTTGTCGCAGAACGAGTGTTTGTGCTGCTGATGGACCCGTAGCCCTTTCAGAGTCGTGGTGGAGTAATTACACATGGTGCATTTGTAAGGGTGCAGGGGCGGGGCTTGCACAGGGGGCTGGGGCTGCTGCGTCGGTGGGGGCTGGGGCTGCGGCTGGGGTGGCACCTGGTGTGGTGGCTGGAGCTGTGGTGGCTGTGGCTGAGACGGAGGCGGCGGTGGCGGTGGGGGCGGCGGCGGCGGCTGTTGCTGCTGCAAGGGATCCAACAGGACTCCTGACTTTCTGCCATTGATGCTTGGGCTCTCGTAAGACACAACGCCTTCATTCAGTGAAGAAATGCTTTCGCTCTGGGAGTTCACAGCATCCCAATCTGACGTCGTACCCGTGTGACACTGCTTGTGAGCCCCGAGTTTTAACGAGCTCTTGCAAGTAAACGGACATTCGTCACATTTGTAGACAGCGGTCTTTCCGGACAGGTGGATGTTTTCTATGTGACGGGAGATGCTACGTCGATGCATAGTGAGGAAGGGACAAAAGGGGCACTGGAACCTATTCATGAACCTTCTAAACGGAATCCCCTTGGTCTCCAACAGCTTGTTGCCATCTGAGCCCATCAGCTGCTCTGCAGACATGCCCGATGTCTGGTGATCCATCACATTCAAGCCATTCTCGCTGTCTATCTCGTTCAGCTCTTCATCAGAACTGGAGTCGTTCAGCATGCTGTTAGTTTCCAGGTCAGCAGAGGAATTGGTCATGTCAGCTATTCCATAACGCGATCGCTCTGCCAAGTTAACTAGGCCAGAGTTGTGAGGGGACTTCGGCTTCATCGGAGGGTAAGACACGGGTGAAAACTTGGAAGCGGACGAAGAATTGGGTCTCATGATGGAGTTGCTGATGGAGCCCCGAAAGTTGGAGACGTTAGCGCTGGGCATCTCCCGGCTTGCAGCATTCATGGACAGATAGGTGGAATTGGAAGTGGGGCTGGGGGCGCTTTTGTTCTGCACATCAGGGAGGTTCGTCCCTTCTTGCTGCTGTCGGAGGCTGGAAAGGATCTTGACCATGCTGCGATGCTTCTTCATCATGTGGTCACACCAGCGTTCTCGGCGGGGGGTCTGGTAGCTGCACCACTCACAGCAAAAGTTGCCTCGAGACTTGGTCAAAGGCTTGACCATGGACTCTAAGATGCTGCGCTCCACGACCTCTGCGGGCAGTTCCTTACAGGGGTCCTGCAGGGACACGGGTGGGACCACGGGGTCTGGCATTGGAGCGGGGGCAGGCAGGGCAGCAGTGGTCTCCTTCAAATTGTTCTTGTGATACATCTTCTGATGCTTAATTATTCTTGCCCTCCTCGGTGACTTGTACGTGCAAAACTGGCAAGAGAAGACCTTTCCAAACCCCTCGTGCATCATGATATTATAATTTAAGGATCCGGGAACAGGGGGTCCCACTGAACTCCCTTCAGCTTGAGCTCCGTGGACCTTCCTTGTGTGTTCAATGAGGAGGTTTTTTGACCTGAAGTAGCGTACGCAGAACTTGCATTGAAAAAACTTGTTGGTTGGTTTGGGATTAGGGGCAATATGCTGACCGTAATATCCAGGACTGTGGCCGTAGTAGCTTCCGGTCCCCAACGCAGTTGCATTTTGACCTAAAGAGGAAGTGTAAGGTAAGTGAGAACAGAAAAGCAAACAAAAGCGAATTAAGAAATTTCATCATGCAAATCAATTTTTCTTTTCAATTATTCTTCATTAATAAACATCACATTCAAAAGGCCTAACGTCTCAAGATGAGGCCCTGAAGAGTATTAATGAAGCAGTAATGAACATCCACGTATCGCTTCTCACAGATGAAGATGGAGCATTCGGCTTTAGGAACAATACTCACCTCATCTCCTACTAAATGCGCCCTACGGCTATAAAAAGACACGTTTCACACACTGCGACATTCATTCCAGAATTCTGCAAGACACTATCCTGTTCTCCAAATTGAAAGGAAACTAAGAGACGTAAGGAAGCCGAAAAGGACAATAACCTAGGACGCTTAAGAAGAGAAACATGATGCTCAAACCACAAAAATGGCTTGCAAAGGGCAAGAAACTCTGAAGAAGCCACACGTATCGAGAGTCACAGCTACAGGCTACAGCTTGAGGAGGGCGGTAAAATAATATCAGGTGTGCCAAGATTCGGTAAAGATTTACCTGATAGATCCTCTGCAATTGCAAATTCGTCCTTTATAGAAGAATACTCCACCTCTGTCTGATTACTGGCATTCATGGACCCGGATCGTGGCTCGTTAGCATTGTCTTCAGCAACATCAGTTGGCTGCAGAAATGCCGTGTGGACATCCTGAATGTGCGCCTTGAGATCTTCGTAAGATGGGGCCCTGAAGTCACAGCCATCACACTGAAGCACCTCCATGATCCGGGCCTACCTTCTCACATTAGGAACCTGTGACAGAAATCAGAACAAAGCATCTAAAGAAATGCACTATTTGCATATCCCAAGTCAATGGGGCTACGAGTCCATTAACGGAAGAATTTCTAGTATCGGCAGATTTCTCTTCCTGAACTTTGCCAGTTGGAACACCGGCCAAAGGAATGCAACCAGACATAATAGGGATAATGTCCTTGAGTTCATAACTTCAAAGAAGGGGATGGGGGGCACCCAGATAAACATTTTCCAGTTTGATATAAATACATCTTCAAAAGCCATTTGTCAAGGAAACCCTTAACAGTTCAAAAGTTTTAGTAGTTTCTGAATTTCTTGACTGAATTCAAATTTCTTGGTAAGTTGATATTGACTTTGATTCTGCCTTGGACCCATTTTTCTTTTGAACTAGAACCTTCTCAGGAGTAAAGAGGATGTCTGCACAGAAAAAAAAAAAGGACAGATTTCAGTCTTTATTAGCTGTTTTAACATTAGAACATTGATGTTTCATCACCAAATGGTGAAACAGTATTGAATCCTGGACTGGTGGTAGAGAGAGCTTTTATTACACCTTTTATTATTCTAATAACTGATATTGGGGTACGCCTCTTTCTTCCTTTCACCAGTTTAGTTGTGTGCATGTGTATGTGTTTCATAAGCTAAATGGTCATTTTACCTTTTAGTACCTACCAATTATAACCTAACAGCTTCTCCAACCTAATTAGGTCATAAACTATTTCTCATGAGATTCTCCAATAACCAACTTCAGATGACAGTCCAGTTTCTAGTTTAAAGTTGCACCTTGGTACCTGGATTTACATATTAAGGTATCACACACAGTTCTCAAGAGGGGCTGCTAGGGCATGACTCTCTCTTTTCCTACATCTCCCCTTCTCAAACGTGAAGTGTACACTTGCACGCAAAAAGCTGTAAACCTACCACAGAATAAAGCACAACTTGCCCAGCACTCTGTTCTTTTCACTGTGTGATTGTAAGACATAGATAGCTTCACACCAACTCAACGGAGAGGCTCACCATGAAGCAGTTAAAAATGTATTAGGAGGTGTAGTCTGTCCCATCTTAACACATATCTTGAGTTGAGATACCCGGTTATTATCTTAATCGGGGAGTTACTTCATTGAGCTCACCGCAAACTCTACTGAGTCACTGTAATCTAGAACCAGATGTCCAAGAACTAAAGCCTTGGCCAAATCTTCCTATACTTTTATGGCCCAGCAACTTTCCATACTTTCGTGGCAAAAGGTAAATTGTTTCTGCAGGAGGAACAACGTCTAGTAATAGGTCAACGTAGAGAAAGGGAGCCATTGCGAGCGGATTTTCTATGAAAGAATGCTCCTGCTGATAGCCTGCTAAAATAACTTCTGGCAAGTCCAGCTCTGGACAGCCTGAGCTTGCAGAGTGAGACACAGATATTTACCTCCTCTTCTTTCACCCAGCAATTTATCCTTTTTCAATAAACACTGAACTGTGCACCAGAGTCTTTTCAGCTAACTAAGTCTCAATATTCGAGATACACAAGCTTTTATGCCTAAGCACCAACCCAAATTGTGTGGAAGAGGTTGCTATCAGCTCTGGATCAAATTACAGCAGTCACTGAGGCCCCACCCCACTTCTCCTTTCGCACAGTCCATTAGACCTGAAAACAAATTTTTCCATGGTGCAGACGACTCCTGCATTTAGAACACTTCGCAGAAAAAAGCAGATCATCCAGTGTGCACTCCCCATCCCCCCAAGCCTAGCCCTTTCATCTCAGCCAAACAAGCCACAGCTCTGCTGAATGTGTTTATCACACTTTCAAGAGATAGGAGCTCCTGCGTCACTGAAGCTCTAAGACTCACTAAGCTGCCCTAGTCCCTCTGAGCTTTAGGAGCAGCCATTTTAGCTCAGAGCTTCTCCTCCGTGCACAACATGGCTTCTCTGGGATTCTGCTAGGCTGACGATCAGAAATGAGCAGTAGAAGAACAGGCTGGGCTCCTCCTATGCTCTTCTCCTCCCAACAAAGCATGAACTGTTTTCATTGCTTCCCGAAAAGCAGCACCTTTCTCCTCCTCAAATGCCATTCACCAAGATCTCCGAAGGTTCTTTTATCCCATGATTGATAAGCTTGTTCGTTAGTCCCAGCAGAGCACTGGTTATTGCAGGACGATCCTGGACCAGACCCCTGTTGTTCCACAGCAGGATTTTGGGGGTGGGCTGGGGGGACCTTCAGAATGCCTTGGCTTCTTGGGAGTCGTCCTTCCACACACAAGAAGACATACCATCCGACTCTGCTTGCCAGATTCCAAAGTCTAATGACCTTTGTTAATCACCAGCCAGTCTGTCTGCATCAGCAGACCCTGCCAACAGACACACCCTTCAACACAAAGGCTGTAGCTATTCCTTTTAAAAGAGGTTCTCTGAAAGCTCCATTGTGTAGCCCGAGAGGAAAACAAAATCTCTTCCCTTCAAAACTTCAAGCCTTTAGAAATAATGCAACAAAAGGCTTTCTGCTGTGTGTCTTTTGGAAATTTTGAGCCTGGTTTGCACAACATCAACAAAAATTATGGTTCTGCACGAGGAAAGCAGGGCACCTTCAGCATTAAGTCATCCACCCAGACATGAAATTCATCTCTCTACGCAGTTCTCTAATATCTTGGTGTCTTCGGAAGCTGTTATCAAGGATTCTAACTTCGCTGGATGCAAACACACACCAACAGTCTCCTTGTTCTGCTACAAAGGAGATTAAAGGGTCATGAGATCAGGAAAAAAAAAAAAACCCCACTGATTTGGAAAAAGAAGAGATGATGAAAGTGATTTCCTAATGGGTTCTAGCTTTAATGTTGTTGCAGTCTCTACCTCAAAAATAGCTCAGAGCCTTAGAAGAGGTTAATCTCCAGGCTGCTGAGAGAACCAGCGTCAGGTACAGCTGAATGGCCTTCAATCTGATGCCTGTACCAAGCACAGAAAGGAGGACGGAGCCTCCTTTGAAAGCCATTTTGCCTTTGTGTACACATTTCTCCTGAAGACGCTGACTGAAGAAGAAAGCAGAAATTTCCAGCATGGCCTAAACAATCAAAGAAACAGAAACTCGATGTGTTTATGAGACCGAGGATGCGCACACGTGCAAGAAGTGAGAACAGGAGAAGAAGGGAATGGGGGAGGACAGAGACAAATAAGCCGGACCCAAGGATGACCCATCCATCAACCGGAGTATGTTTTCACAGCAGATGGTAATCCTCTGAGGAAACCCTCGACAAGGAAAAAAAAAAAAGGAGAAATAAGCTCTGCATGTCTGACTGCCTCATCCACCTAGAAAGAGCAGCAACCCTAAAAGACTCATCTAGACACTGATCTGCTACAAAATTATTATTTAAAGCTAAAAGCCTTGATCTCCTATCTCCTTACTTCATTTAAAAATACTGTCATAATGAGATTAGCAATACTTTCCCCCACCCCCTGCACTGACCCAATCAGCAAAATCAAAAGCAGAAGAGGAAGCTTCGGAAACTAACTAAAAAGAAATGCTATTCCAGAAGGTCATGGGGTGAGTCTACAAATCAAACAAGCACCCCGGTGTCCTACACCCCCCATCCCCCACCCCCAGCAGTATTCCCAGGCTCCTCAAGGTCAAACTGGCATCGAGGACTAGCTCTAAATACCACCCTGGAGGAGACCTGCTCAATGAATACCCTATTGCCTGACATGATCAGTCCTCTTAACATGCACCCACGAAACCCCTAGACCATTCAAACTATTCATTGCTCTTCAATACTACTTATTACTGGTGGTTGGGTTTTTCCATTTCCATTTCTAAAAGGTGGGGTTTTGATGAGAAACCCTAAATCCAATTTCCATATACTGACAAACTCTTGAGGACATATTTAAAGAAAGCCCAGGGATCTTGCTCAAGATCTGGAATATACACATGAGAAAGGGGAAAGGTAGAACGCATGGACACAGGTTGCTCTTCCGCTTACATTGCCTGCGCACCCCGTTTCTGGGCTCAGAATCCCAGGGGGCCATCATGCCTCAATGAAGGTGAAAGAGGACAATCCGCAGTTTCTTGGCCTATCCTTCCAGCTCACAGCCCAGACGTACCTGGAGAGGGGGAGGCACCCTTGATGGTTCACAGTGTTCTCACGACCCGGCCACCATCAACCCTCGCCCAGGGCAGCTTGGCGAACACTGTTCTCTAAGCTTGCATAAACATGGTCTTCAAGTCAAAGTCCCAACTGTCTCCAGGAAGTGCCCAAATTAAAACACACAGGCCTTGCCTGGATCGAACCTGTTCTCTGACTGAAGGACTGCAGACCAGAAATAAAGCTGTGAAGCCCCACAGCCACAGGGATTCAGCAGCAACTAATTATAACCTTCAAAGCCTTTGAGAAATAGAACCAGAAACACCATAAGGTGCTTTTCCTCTGTCCACTCCAGAAACCTAGTTTCATTTATAAGGCACTGAGCTCCCCAGTTCTCCTGAATCACAATTCTAATAAAAGGTTTTAGTTAGCACCTGTTGTTTGTGCTTTTCTTACTTTCCAATGAATGGAAAAACCAATTATCCAAGGACTGGTAGTGGAATGCATAAACTCTGGAATAGTTCAGCTAGAAAAACAGAAACATCAGGAACGTAAAGATCATTCTCCAAATGTATCTGTGGGTCGGAAACAGCTGGTAGGATGAGGTCAAAGAGCCGTGAGGTGTTAGGAGGTTAGCATTTCTCGCTGTGAGCCCCAGCACTGCCATGGGGTTTGGGAGGAAGGAAGAATTTTCATGCTGAGGATAAAAAAAGGGGGGCGGGGGGACCACTAACTCATCCACTTGTGAACGCGGGTTGCTACTCTTAAGACAAGGGGTGTTTTACATCGCTACTTATCACTTACCCTTGTCACGGTCCAAGTGGGAGTTCTAGTAATTTGAACATCATTTAAAGCATCTTTCCAAACAGGACTGGACTGAGAAATTGGGGTGAAACTTCCTTTGACAGGAACAGTAGTTGCAGGATCAAACTGACAAATACA